AGTTCGGGCTGTTGCCGCCGGAGCTGCACGCTCGCCTGCTGGACCAGGAGGACTACAAGAACCGCACGCAAGCCATGGAGGAGCTGAAGAGGGTGGTCGGAGGTGCCAGCCAGGCTGCGGTGGCCTCCACGCCTGCCCCCAGCCTCCTGGGGCTCATCAGCTTCCTCTACACCCTCCTCGATGACTCCAACTTCAAGGTGGTGCTCGGGGCGTTGGAGGTGATACATCTGCTGGCCCTGCGCCTGGGTGACCAGGTCCGGGCCTTCCTGGCACCTCTGGTCTCGGCTGCTGCTAAAGTCCTGGGGGACAACAAGCTGGCCATCCGGCAGGAGTACAACCGCCTGTTCCTGCGGCTGATGAAGGCGGCAGGTCCTCAGCAGGTGCTGGGCCTGCTGCTGCAGCAGGAGCATCTGCAGCACAAGAACTCCAAAGTCCGCGAGGAGGTGGTCAACATCTGCATCGTGGCCCTCCTCACTTACCCTAGCGAGGAGCTGGACGTGGCCCAGCTGGCGTTTGGGCTGGCTCCGGCACTGGTGGACAGCAAGCGCAGGGTCCGGCATGCTGCCATGGAAGCGTTTGCTGTGCTGGCGTCTTCCATGGGCCCAGGCAAAACCACCCTTCTCTTCAAGGCGGTGGATGCCGTCGAACTTGAGGACAATGGGGACGGGCTGATGCACGCGGTGCAGGCCAGGCTCGCCAGGAAGACCTTGCCGAAGCTAGTAGACCAGGGTTTTGTAGAGTACGCTGTGCCCTTGCCTTCATCTGGTCATAACAGGGGGTCCTGTTTACCCCCCGGAGCAGATACAGACTGGTTGCTGATGGGCAACAGGACTCAGAGCGCACACAGTTACTGTGGGTGTCACGCAAGGGACGATGCTCTGCAAAACTCCAGCTCACACGGCGCGTATGCCGATCAAGGAGTAAGTCCAAGAAGAGTCCTGAGTGCGGGTAAAGGGAAAAACAAACTGCCTTGGGAAAATGAGCATGCTGGAGACAGGGAAGGTGGTTCAGGAGTCAAGATACCTTTCACAAAGGATGTGGAGCAGGTATGTACTCGTAGCTCACTGGGCTCATTTCTTCTAAGGCATGTCCCAAAGGGAAATTTGAAAGTTGTCCAAGGTTTATTAAGTGACAGGTATTTCCGAGGTATGGCTAATACTGCTAATATTTTATGTGCAGGGATCTCTATACATACATAGATCTGGGAAGACAAATTTGAGAACTCTTTATGTTGGATTTAACACTAGTAGGAACCAGACAACGTATCACTTACAAAAAAAAAAAAAAAGAAAATCTTTTTCTGAAGTTAGGCTGGACTCCATGAGGCACTTCTTACGTCAACCCTAGTGGTCCGTCTTTGACAATGGCAAGCTAAACCCCAGGGAATGAGTACAAGAGCGGGGAAACTATTTCAGAGCTTCTGTTTGTATATTTGTGTTTGAGACTACTTGACAGACTGCAGAGTTAAGCAGAAAGGTTGGCTTTCCTAAATACAGAAGCTGTTTGGAGGAAAACTGACAAGTTGCTTCAATTCAGGCTTTGAAGGCAGAGCTCTGGAGTGTGGCTGAGCCAGTGCTTTTTGGCAGTGTACTGACCTGTAATAAAACGTGGGGGTTGCCCAGTGTCTGTGTGGCTCTTTTTCCTCAGTCTGATTCGATTAGGAAAAATGCAGGTCAGGCGGAAATAGCAATTCAGAATGACCCAAGTTTTGATTTTACCACTTACTGACCATGTCGGCAGCTGCAAAGGGAAGGAGCCTTTGAAAAATTGTTCAGGTCCCTTTTACTTTGGCAGTG